AAGTAACTGTCAGCACCGTGGCCCAGATCTTGGAGCTCCATCTCAGGACCTGTGGCCTCTCTACGTTGAGTCTCTGGTTCCTCCCTCCCCGCCAGACAGCTGCTGTTCTCACGGCCTCACAGCTCCTGCTCCCTCAGGGTCTCTTCCCCTTTGTCTAGGGGCCCTGGACAGACTGCAGTTTCAGCACCAGATACCCAAGGCGGATCCTCAGCATTTTCCCAGATCATGTGCCTCAGTAGGCATGGGCCTGGCCCAGCCCACTGTTAGGAGGCCACGTCCCAAGGCATTGGCCGCCTGTGGACAGGTGCGCAGCCAGGGCCAGTCAGCTGTGTGCAGGGAAGTCCTGGAATGAACGGTTGTCAGGCCCCAGGCCCAGGGGAGACTCCTGGAAGGATCAGCTCCTCTAAAGCAGTGGTTCTCAACCTCGGCCGCACTTTATAATCCCCTGAGGAGCCCAGGCCACATCCCAGACCAGTTTTTAGGAAACTTAATTAAGGTATAACATTTGCACAGAAAAGTACACATCATTAGTGTGCAGCTTGATGAATTTTCATAAAGTGAACACACCCATATCAAGAAACATTTTATCACCCCAAAAGCAGGTCCCCGTGTGCACCCTCCCAGACTACCCTTTGAGGGTAACCACCACCCTGGCTTCTGACACCATGATTTAGACTTCCCGGCCAAGGGGGAGAACCAAGGCTTTAAAGGATGTGGCCGTGGCTGGCCACTGGGGTGAGAGGAAGTGGGGCTTGGGTTTGGTGTGAAGAAGAAACCATTTGAGCCAAGGCAGGAGGGGAAGGGGAGCCCGGAGCGAGGGTCTGTGGTGTAGGCCCAGCTGGAGCAGAGAGGAAAGAGGAGAAGGCAGGGGAAGCCACAACTTGAGCTCTGTGAGAGGCACTTTGTTTTGTCCTTCCCTCCATCCCCAGCCCGCCTGCAGTGCCTGACACACAGTAGGTGCTCAATTAACATTTGTTGAATTAACTGGAGAATTCAGTTGGGATCCACCTCTAGGTCTCGAATGTCAAAGAACAATAACCTCAGTTCCCATTTATTGAAGGTTTGCTGCCTGGGTTATCTCGTTGCATCCTCACAATGGTCCTGGGAGGTTGGTACCATTATCAGCCTCTTTTTCAGTTGAGGAAACCGAGGTTCAGATAGGTGAAATGCCTTCCTCAAGGTCACTTGCCTACTAAACCATAGAGCCTGGATTCACATCTGTCTGTGCAGGTCTCTGTGCCTCCTGGAGGAGAGGAAGGGCAGCCACATGGGGTGGCTGGAGGACAGGAGAGACAGAGCCTGAGCAGCCAGAGCCACATCAGTCACTCATGAGGTATCTGGCTCATGTTCCTCAGACCGGCCCTGGGCAGGGTGTCCTGACCTCTGAGGATGGGAGAGAGCCAGGGCCAAAAGCTCTCTCTTCTCCAAAGAGGTTCTCTAGTGGTCCCTTGGGCTAGGGACAGAGGGCAGGGTTTAGCTAGACATCTACCTCATGGGGAAGATGAAGCACAGAGAGGGATAGGGACTTACCTAAAGTCACGCAGCAAGGAGGCAGCATTAAGGGCAGGGGTGAGTGTAGAGGAGAGCCCAGGCCAGAAGGTTTCCTGTGGTCAGAAAAGTCAGAGAATGACCCTTAGAGCCCAGGAAGCACAGGGCTAGATTAGCTGACCTCCAGGGGCCCCGTCACACACCTGGAATCGGAGTCAGCACTAGTCTGTAGATCCAGAGGGCTTGGCGAAGGGAACAGCAAGTATGGCTAAGGCCCTGGCTTAGACTTTCTGGGCAGGGCCTGGGGAGGGGATGGGGGACCCAGGGGTCTGAACTCAAGCCTCAGCCCTGGCCTCCCCTCACTGTGTGACCCTAGGCAAGTGTCTGCCCTCTCTAGACACAGGTGACCTCCGAGAGCCCTCCACATCTTCTGCATGCCTGCCAAACACCAAGTGTCTCTCCTGTCCTCACAGACCTTAAGCCACAGGCCAGGTTGCAGGAAATGGCAAGGGGAAGTGTTATTTTGGGCCCATTATGGCCTATGAGGAGCCCTGCCTGGCAAAGGCATGGGAATGGGCATCCCCAGCTGGGTCAGGAGTAGACTGCAGGGCTGAACTGGGGAGGGGGACAGCAAGCAGGCTTCAGAGATAAATGGGGCAGCACGCTTGCCGGCTGTGGGGAGGACCCGGGGCAAACACTGAGGGGAGCAGTGGAGAGAGCAGAACTGGGTTCCTGAGCCCAGAGGCCTGGAAGAAGCTGGTGCCCCCAACATGGGGTCTCAGCAGAGTCTGACAACATCCTGCATGGGTGAGCTTGCATTCAGAGAGGTGATGTCATTTGCTTAAGGCCACACAGCCTGGCAATGGCAGTACTGGGACTTGACCCCTATCTGCGTGACACCAAAGCCCAACCCCAGTGGGATTCCAGACTCAGGCCAGGGTCTGGATCTAAATGTGGGCTGAACCTAGCCCTCAGGCCCAGTCAGCCCCAGCTCAGCTCCTGCCCTGTCCCACATGGGTGAGCCCCACCCTGGCCTCCTCACCCCAGTTCCTCAGACCAAGCCGACCCTCCCCCTGGAGCTAAGGCACAAACACAGGAGGACAGGCCACCTTCCAAGGGGTAGGACTCGGCCAGCTGGGGGTTAGCCAAGCACAGAGCATTGGCATTTAAATCTGAGCTCCAGATAAGCCTCCTGCTTTAGACTTCCATGTTGGAATTCCAGTGCAGCCAGCAGAGGGCGCCACCATTTCTGGTCCACAACCCCAGAGACACATCTGCTCAGATTCCCTGCAAACAACCACACTCCATGCCTCTGATCCTGTGGCCCGAGATCCCCACACCACGCAGGGCCTCAGGTGGACATGGAGCCCATGTCTCTGCCTTCAGATCACCATCACAGCTCATCCCAGCTTACTGGGGCCTTATGCTGTGCCAGCTAGGATGAAGTGTGAGCCTTCTCTGGGCTCACTTCCCTGGCTGCACTATGAGAGGTTCAGTGCAATAGTTTCTGAGGTCCCTGAGCTCGGAGATTGTAATGCTAAGATTCCGTAGGGCCCTCTGAGATGCCAGGAGTTTTAAAAGCCTGTGATTCTGAGAGTCCTTTGTTCTTGAGCCTGTGGTTCTCCAAGCTCCATAAAAAGCTGATCTAAATCTCTCCTGTGGCCTCTACAACTCCTTCCTTGTCTCCTCACTGTAGCACTAGATGCTCCGAGACTCTTGGGCAGGGTCCCATCTGCAGCTCGCTGTGGTTCAGGAGTCAGAGCCAGCAGTAAATAACAATTAGGCTCCCTCTTAACCTGAGGGTGCGGGGGTGGGATGTGTGCAGACTGTGGCTCCAGGAGACCTGAGGCTACGGAGCTGCAGCATGAGAACCCAAAATTGCCAACCAGAGTCCCCAGAACCACAGGAGGGACACCCTAATTATCAGATGGGGAAACTGAGTCAGGGGAGGGATCTGATCAAAGCCTCACAGAGAGCTGGTAGGAGAGATAGGCCTGAACCCTCTGTAGGATGTCTGATTAATAGCCAGTGTCCCTTGACCAAAAAGCAGATCCCCATTTAGTCTACTGAGTGGCACATGAAATGCCACCATTTGAATTCCAGAACTTGGAACTGGGGTGTAGAAGGTCCCCTTACAAAGAAAATAGTTGCAGGAATGGAGGGCACCCTGGGCTGTTCTGGCCCCCTCACCAGGTCTCCAGCATGGATCCTCTCGGCTCTCTCTCTGTGGGCTCGAATGTGGGATATGCGACCCTGGGATCACACCTGCCCTAGCCCTGGGGGGCTCCATTGACATACGAGGGGGCTGGGGCCATGATCCCGACATCACTGACCTTGAGTTCTTTCTGCCCTTCCCCCATAACCCGGGCATGGCCCAGGGAAATGGAAACTCTTCCCCTGGCCCCTCCCTCTGCAGGTGTCCAGTTCTCCTGGAATCTCTTGGACCCTGGGGACCTGACCTTCCCCACCTCTTCACCCCACGGCTCAGATTCTATGACTCAGTTTGTTTAGAATTCTCCACTTCCCCCCACAATCTATCCCCAACAGACTTATTTACCTTCCTCCACCTCTGTCATGGGCTGTGATTATCCTGATCCCAGCCAGGCCTCTATGCCAGCACAAGGCCCTCCCTGCTGTCTGAATCTCCCAGCCCTGCTGTCCTGGGGCTGTGCACTTTCCAGGACCCCACCTGGGGTCCCCTGAATGGTACTGAGCAGAAACTCAGGCTGCTGGGCTGCTGTCTCCAGCCCTGGCCCACCATAGCGCACAACTCCAGGGGGCACAATTCACAGAGCTGGGAATACAATGCGAATAGTGTCCCGGAGTCCCTGGTCACTGCCCTGCTGGGCACCCTGAGGGCTGGCATTGGGTACTGGCAGGGTAGGGAAGGGAGAGCAGTGTGTCTCCTGTCCTGCTGGAAGGAGGGACAAACCATCCAGGCAGACGGGCTGGGTGGGGAGTGGAGATAGGAAAGGCCTCCCGGAGGAAGATTTGGGCTGGGACCCGAGGAACCAAGTGAGCCTCCTTGGCAGATTCGCTTCCACCAGGCCTTTTCTCACGCACTAGGTGGGGGTTTCTAGGGGAGGGCCTGGGCCTCATCGGCAAGGAAAAGTGAGCTCCTTCTCCCTGGCTGCCAATTTCCAGGAGGAAAACGAGACCCAGGCAGGGGCAGCGGTGGCCCCGTTTGCACTGGCAATGGTGACAGGACCCGGAGTAGCATCCACGTCTCCGGTCTATCTTGCATCGCGCAACCCCTTCTTTCTTGGTTTGGAGCCCGGAAGGGGCTGATCCAAGAGGTCTCCTGAGCTCGGCCGCCGTGTCCCGCGCAGCCCCCTGCAGTTCCCGGGGGGCGCGAGAGATGGCGACGCGGAGCAGCGCTGCCCGGCGGGAGAGCGCGAACCCCTCGGCGGCCTCACAGGTGGAGGGCGGGGGCGCGAGCCTGGACTCTGACGTCGGGGGCGGGGCCGGCGGCCGTGACGCGCGGGGGCGGGGCGGGGCGGTGCGTTTTCCCGGCCCGGCCGGCGATTCATTCAAAAGGCGCGCAGCCTGCGCGGCTGCCCGTGGGCTCGCGAGCCGGGCTGGGGCGCCGCTTCCATCGGGAGCCGGGCTGCTGGAGCTGCCGCGGGGCGGCCAGGTAAGGAGGGCGCGCGGAGCCCCAGCCCGGGATCCGCTACCCGCGTCTGGGCCAGAGCGATGCGGACGAGTGGCGCCCCCTGCCTCCCCGCGTCTCTGAGGAAGTTCGCCTGCGCGGCGGATGCCGCAGCCTCGGCCCCGCGCCCCCCCGCCGCCGCGTCCTGTCCCGGCGCCTTCCGCGCCGCGGCCCCCGCCCGTCTCGGAGCCCCCTGGCCCGGACCTGCGCGTCCTCCGCCGCGACTCCAGGCCGGGCCGTGCGCGGCGGGGAAGCAGCGGCGGGACTTGCCGTTTGAGGAGCCGGCGGCCCAAGATACGCCCCCGGCCAGGGAAACTTGGACCGAGACCGTGACGGGGTGCGGGACCGGCCGGGAATGGGGTCCTGAACGGTGACAGCCCGTGACTGTGGGTGACACGGCGCGTGAGGCGGCCCAGCCTGGGCGAACGTGTGGCCGGGACACTGGGCGGTGACGCCGGGCCGACCGGGAGACACAGACAGGCTCTGTGTGTTCGTGACAGGCAGAGTGTGTGCGTGTGATTGTGTGTGAGAGAGAGACCCCGCGTCACTGCGGGTGACGGTGACCCCAGCCCGCTGTGAGACCCCGGGTCACTGGGGTCATTGAATGTGTGTCTGACCAGGGCAGGGCTGGGGCCACTCAATGTGAGTGAGTGATGAAATAGAAGGAGAGGAACCCCAAGTTCCTCTGTGAGAACCAGCCCCTGAATCACTGGGGCCATAGTGTGCTTGTGGGGTCAAGTGCCGTGTGTGTGTGTGTGTGTGTGTGTGTGTGTGTGTGTCTGCACCTCAAGGCAATGAGTAAGAGATGGAAAGAGGAGGGACCTCAAACATCTGCCAGCAGATGAGGTGGGGGGCAAGGAAGGAGGGGTGCCGTGGGATAAGGGTCTCTCCAGGACTGTCCCCAAGAGGGCGCCCCATAGGAGCTCAGTTTAATGAGGGGGTGGACCTTGAGTGACTTGCCCTGACAGAGGGGGATGAGGGCCAAGGCTGGGTGACACCTCTGGCAGCAGCTCAGGGGCCCTGAGGTAGCCTCAGTCTCCACCTCCCACAGACACACACACACACACACACACACACACGCACAGTGAGGTCCCGGATGCTTGGCAGATTTCTGCCCCATGGTAACCTGTATTCTCACTGGGCCCATCTTGCCCTCAGACCCTGCCCCCACTGGGCCTCAGTCTCCCCATCTGCACACTGAGGTGTTGGGCTGTGAATGGACTGTGAATCATCACTTTGGGATCCTCTGTTGTTTTTGGGTCAACCGCTTCTGTTCTCCCCTCCCTCCCTTCGGGCAGAAAGACTGCAGTGGGGGGTGCGGGCAGGCTGTCTGCTGGGGACACAGTGGCCCAGGGGCTGCACCCAGGTGCTGGTTTCAGGGTTGGAAGCACAGCTCCTCGGACCATGCCCAAAATTCTGATCCATAGACATTGACTTCTCCGGCCCAGGTCTCCTTTCTTTAGTTCCCTGCATAGTGGGGAGGGGGCATGGACTATTCCCTATGAGTGGTGTCTGATCTGGGAGGCTAAGTTCTTGCTGATGGAGAGCTGGAGCAGGGCCCCTTCTCTGGGCTAGACCCCTCTGAGGCCCCCACCCCTACAAGAGGGTCTGTCGGATTCATGCAGGGTGAAATGGAAATCGGGCTGCCTAGACCAGGAGGGGTGAGGAGGGGGCACCTGCTGAAGGATTGGAAGTTCTGTCCTCTGCTGTCATCCTCTGAAAATGTTGAGTGCATTCTGGTGGGGGCGAGGGTCGGGGGACAGTGCCAGGCACTGTGCTGAATGCTTTATGGCGTGCTCTTGTTGAATCCTCACAGTGGTTCTAAGATGCGGTGACTATTTTTCAGAGAAGGAAACTGAGGCTCAGTGAAGCAGAGTGACTTGCTCAAGGTCACACTGAGTCACGATGGTGCCAGGACTGGAATTCAGGTCTTCTGCCCCTGAAGCGCTGTGAGGTGCTTGGAGAGGGCCACCCACCTTCCTCATATCTGCTCACGGCTTATCTGAGCTTCCTTCTCTCAAACCCGGGCTGCCGAGCATGGCCTGGCCAGAGTGTGCCATTGCGAGTTCTGAGTGTGGTGTTGTGTGTGCACATATGTCTGAAACATTGGGGCAGGCGGGTTGTGTGGTCTTCCTGTTTCACCTCCTCCTCCCCCCTCACTCCCCTCAGTTCACACCCCTAGCCGGAGGTCACCAGAAAGGTCTGTCTCGTGCCTTCTAGAGCCTGCAGCTGGCTTTGGGAGCGTCCACATAGCCCTGAAGAGTGTGGGGAGTCAGCGGCACAGCCCAGGCTCCGAGGGTGGCGAGGATAATTGAGTCCCAGCTGACCTTCACCCTACATGAGACTCCCTGTCCCCCTCTTCGAGTTGCTTTAGGGGCACTTTCCCAAATCCACATGCTGTGGTGGGGAGCAGGCTGGGAGTGACCTTGAGCTTATGCCCTGTCCTCTTGTGGGCCTCAGTCTCCCCATTCTTCCCAGAAGCCCCTGCTAGCTCTGACAACTGTCGCTGTTTGGCCGAGAGCTGGAGCTAGGGACCAGGGTACCCTCGGTCCTCTCTGGAGTGACTGGAGCCATGCTTTTTGGGGCTGGTCAGAATAGCTGTCTTGGTCTCCTGGGACTGAGCCTGAGTTATTTCCATCCCCAGCTAAGAGGGGGAAATAGCTCAAGGCCCGGGAGTCGGGGGAGAGGAGAAGAGTTAACCAAGGGTTAACCTCCTCTTCTGGTCCCAGCCCCAGTGGAGGCCCCCAGCCCCACCCTGTGCCCTGCCCAAGCCAGACCTTTCTGGGAACTTAGGCCTCCTGGGATGACAGGGATGACTGTGGGGCCAGGCAGGGTTCCCACGTGTGACCCCGTGTGATAGTTGCTGGAGGGCGGTGCTTGTGTCTGGCCAAGGAGGGGAAACTTTGAGCGGCAGTTAGCACCCGCCCCTGCTCATAGAGTCAGCCCATTTTACAGAAGGAGAGACTGAGGTTCTGAGAAGTGCAGGGACTTACCCAAGGCCACCAGAACTCTGATATTCTGGCTCTCACCCTCCAGACAGGCTGGCACTTGTGTCCTGCCACATGTTCCCCGGAGGACTGGCCGTGGCCCAGGACTGGAAGCCGGCCTGAGACACACCTTCACAAAATCAGGGCCGCCTCTTATGTTCCAGCCCTGGCCTTGCCGTCCTTGCCCAACTCCTGTACTGGCCTTCTGCCTCCGTTTGCAGTTCCTCCACACACTGCCAGAGTGACCTCTCTGAGCTAACTCTCATGTTTGCCCACAATATATAGTCCAGACTCCTCATCCTAGCACTGAGGCCCCTTTGAACTTTACATCTTCAGCCTCATCTCTCCCTGCCAGATGCCTGGTTCTACTCGGCCTTTGCTTTTGCTGTCCCCTCTTTCTAGAAACTTCCTGGTCATTCAAGGTACAGTCCCAGTTCCCCCTCACCCAGGAAGCCCTCCCAGCCCAATGGGAGTCCCTCCTCGTTGTTGTGGTCCACCTTCTAGGTGTCCCCCCTCACCTCTGGGAACAGGCAGAGGTATGGGGCACTCGTGGGCACTGCAGGCCCAGCTGCCTGCCCTCTCCCCCTGCCGTCTGTGCTGGCCGGGCTTCTTCCTGAGGAAGGGCAGCCACTGTAGGCTGAGGGCTTACTGTGTGCTGGGATGCATAGGGAGGTTTACTCCCAGGGTCTCTGATGCTCCCGAATGTGTGCTGGGGGTTAGGGGTGAAGACTCAAGCCACCCCTGTGGGTAGGGGCAAGTTTGGTGCTTGCCGTGGGCCCTTCTCAGGCAAGGCCCTCCTTCTGGGCCAGCAGGGGAAACTGCTGAGGCTCGCCTGTGTGCTGGGCTCAGGTCTCCTCGCAGCAGCACTGACAGGGAATCCCCTTCCTTCCCGAGCTGCTCGATGGGGAGCCAAGACTCAGAGGGCAGAGGGGCCAGTCCTAGTTTGAGTCACACAGCCACCCGTGCTGGAGTCTGGCACTCTAGCTCTCGCCCAGCCCCCAGCCCTGTCCCCAGGTGGAGGTGAGGGTTGTCTCACAATTCTGGCATCAGTTTGCAAAGAAGGACCAGGCTGGCTACCTGCAGGGGGAGGAGGACATGTTGGTGCGGCTGTTTAGCACCTTGCCTGGCTGGGCGAGGCCAGACTCCCTCCGTTATGGGGCCAGCCCTTCTGCCAGGTGGGCAGGAGGGGTGGACCAGAGGGGTAGGGGTTTTGCCTGAGAGCAGCCAGCAGGGCCCATCCGGTCCTACCCCCACTCAGGATTGGGGGCTGGGATGTGGTCTCTGGCAGAGCTTAGCACCCGCTCTGTGCTGAGCCCCTGGGTGCCTGGGCCTAGCTGGGTCCATGGTGGTAGGGAAGACAGGAGGGAGCCAATGGTGCATCCCTACTGTGTGCCCAGCCCTGGGATTAGGACCCCGAGGCTCTCACATCCTCAGCCTCATGCCCAGAGGGTCAGCAGCCCCCTCCAGGTACAGGCAGGGAAAAGAGGGCCCAGAGAGAGAAAGGGACTTGCAAGACTAGGGTCACTGGGATCCTAACCCAGGTCTGTCAGTCTGGAAGGCCAGAGCTCCTTCCTGGGCCACCCTGGGAAAGATGAGAGCTCTATAAATAAATGTGGCTGTGAGCGTGTGCCCTGGCCACTTGGCACAGATGGAGAGAGATGAGGGGCCTCTGCAGCCATTTAAAGGGAGGGTCTGAGTGTGTGAGTAGAGAGAGAAGGAAGGAGCGCTTCCAGAGGAGGGACCCAAGCTTGGACCTGCACACCCTCACGGTGAGAAGGAGCAGTGAGCACAGGGAGGGACCGTGGTCATTCACAGTGCCTGGCCCTGCTCTGTGCCCAGCCTCCTACGTGTACTTGCCTGCCTCCCTCCCTCGAGGGAGACCACAAACGATGGCTGAAAGGGCCAGGAGAGGGGAGGGTCCACCCTGACGGGGCAGCTGGGAAGGCTTCCTGTAGGAGGCAGCGCCTGGGCTGAGGCCTGACTGTAAGAAGAAGAGCC